TTTCTAACCTGGCCGTCTCGTCTTGCTCTGCTTCAGACCAGCCGTCGCCCTTCTCGAACCCCCTAAGCCGTTCCTCGAGCTGTCTGCGTTGGGGTCGGGATATACGGAAGTTCCAGTCGTCTTCTGGGTGAGAACAACTCCCTGCCTCTCTCTCCCCTTTGCCTTTCGTCTTTCTCTTCTCCCTTTGCTTGCTGCGTTTTCCCGGACATCGTCTGTCGACTCCGAATATACGGCATTGAAGAAGTCTCGCCGTCACTTCACCTGCATCCGTCACCGCCAGCTTCGATTGAATATTCCTGCAGTCACCCGTCGTCAAGTCACTACAATCCCTCTTTTTCCTCCTATATGGCCTATATATCGAAGGATCTGGCGGCAGATATCGGGCCTGTGGCATCGTCTCTGCTCAATTGGGCCCTGCCAAACAGCTTCGACTGTTTCCATCACCCGTCTTCTGCCCCTGAATGCCTTTCCAACATCTCTCTCCCGTTGAACCTTCAGCAAACACCAGCAGCCTTCGACCTAGGCCTCTCTGCTCTTTCCCCCCGTTGCTCTGCAGCTTGCATATCTCACATACTTTACTTTGGTCCCCCGGAAAATCACTACCTGGAAAAGTGGTAGATGATGTGTTACACGGACATTAATATTTGTTGATTCACTATAAAGGCTAACATATGAACTCTGTTTTTCTCCTCCTGTCTTCTAGGAATCTTCCGTCCGTCTGTCTGTCTGTCAAGCGAACATTCCCTCTCCTTTACGACTGTCGTCTAGTCGTCTCGGAGCAGCCCTGCCTGGTGTCGTCGAACAGTGGAGACGTTAGCTCGTTGTTCACTGGTCCACACCACCACCACCACACCTCCCTCTTCGTCGAAGCAAGATCTCGTCCGTCTTTCTTCACCTCGCTGTCGACTTAGATGCTGTGAGGTCCGTCGGATAGGGTTGTTATATACCCAGCCATACATCGCCAAACTGGGTACTTAAGACACCTTTCCCCTCCCCCGTCGTTGAATCAGCCACCTGAGACAACTCCCTCCCATACCTATATACAACAACACATCAACATATACACCTCTACGGAAAAGGGAGAAAAGCTAACAGATGATAGCGTTTGTTCAAACTTCATATTTCGGTCTTCGACCGTTTTCAACGGCACAGATTATTGTCTGTGTCTGACTTTCTTTAATATTCCCCCCCTACTAATACTTTTACGCTCCTTAATTTGCATTTTTCGCCTCAACGACTGTCCCTCTCTTGAAAAACCCCCCTCGTCGTAACATAGTTTGCTAGAGCTTAGCAAGACCACACGCCACTCATTTTCATCTCGCTGGAAGTTACGCGGAGCGTCCCTTGAAATTCTTCCTGCGAGAAACCAAAAGTTCTAGTGCTCTTTCACGCTCTCCGGAGACCGAGCCAATCCAAATAAGCCCATCCAACATGGCATACCAACGCTGTCAGACTACGACTTACCAGCCGTGCGATAGCTACTTCGTCGAGAGCTACGATCAAGACTATGTACAGCCTCAAGTGCATCATCAACAGCCACAGCCGCAGCACCCGCAGCAGTCACAACAGCCTCAATCCCATGTGAACCCACGGGAACATGCTCGGCTACTGGCCCGGGAGCGTCAGTATGCAATTGCTGATCAGATGTCACGCATGGCTACGGACGAGTATCAGGAGGACATCTTGGCGCACATGCATGCAATGGACACGGCCACCCAACCCGATGTCGACTCCATAGACATCCAGACCGAGATCCAATGGTTTATGCGGCCATACCTGCTCGACTTCCTCATCGAAGCCCACGCTGCCTTCCAGCTGCTGCCAGCTACCTTGTTCTTGACCGTTAACCTGCTTGACAGATACTGCTCAAAAAGAGTCGTGTACAAGAGACACTATCAGCTGGTTGGATGTGCGGCTCTGCTTATTGCTGCCAAGTACGGTGATAAGAAGGATCGTGTCCCCACAATCAAGGAACTCAAGTCCATGTGCTGTTCGCTGTACGATGACGACATGTTTATTCAGATGGAGTGGCACGTCCTGCAGACATTGGGCTGGTCAATTGGCCACCCAACCGTCGACAGCTTCCTGCAGAACGCCGTGGTCGATACACCCTACGATCCCGAGGTCGAGCATCTCGCCTTGTACATTGCCGAGATTTCCCTGTTCCACCGTGACTTTGTCTCCAAGCTGTCGTCCGACATCGCCAGAGCCTCGCTTGCTCTGTCCCGCTGCATCCTCAACAGACCACAGGCCCCGCAGTCCGATTGGGCATCCAACTACGACTCGCTAACGCTAGTGAGCCTCTCGCAGTACCTTCAGAAACCGTCGCACGTTCTGACCCGGAAGTACTCGTCGGCTCACTACTCCCGTGCGTCCAAGCTTCTAGAACAGTTCCTTGCCCGCCAGGAGTCCCTGAACAAGTCGTACAACCCTCCTACTCCTCCAAACGATCGTATGTGCGAGTCCAAAGCTCCATACGAAAATGAGGCTGGGCTGGCTACTCCACAAAAGACACAATACCCAGCCGTATCACATGGCTACATCACGCCACCCATTACTCCGGAGAACGATGCATTTGGTGTGCCAGGAAATCCCAACGTGGCCAAGGATGGAAGCACAATGCTCTACAACTGCCCACCCTCGCCCACACCAGCGCCTACCATGCAGTATACAGCACAACATTACGAAATGACAGACGCTTCCGCCTACTCGCATCATCGGCTCTTCCCACAACCACCGGCACAAACTTTCAATCCTGTGTTCTAGGTCTACGAACACAACAAATGGTCACCATGGTAACTCAAAAGAGGATACCTGCTCGGCCCGGTCCGACTGGGCTCCCGGCCCTGCTACATCGGACCGGATTTATTATTTCTCCTTACACGCTTACATAATCACACTTGAGCTAAGGAGGAGTGATAGTTGATACCCCTATTCTGCCGGCTGGTTGGAAGTTCACCCCTTTTTATCTACTCGGCGTCGACGGTGAATTTGAAGATGCAGGCTCTAAGCTCTTGCCTATGCTCACTTCAATTTCATCCTCTTGCTACAAAACTATGGTCGAAAATCGGGGACTTGTTCAACTACCGCTCACGAACAAGCAAACATCACCCTTCCCCTCTCCCCCATACCAGATATCTCCTGTTTATTCTAGCTTTTATTCCCAAATCTAAAAACGGTTTCCAAGTAAGATTCCGAGTCAGTTTTGTTTTTTTTCCCTATATTTCCTATGTTCTGCATCTCATAAGTCGTTTTTATCATTAGTACCATTTTATTGCCTCTTTTTTTTGTTCTATTCTGCATTGCAAGCGTGATTCATCTGAATGCTCTATTTCGAAATCAGCTGTTTCCAGCCCTTGTACCATGTCAACTACTCTCTCTTGCGAGCTAACCTCCCTTTTTCCCCCATGCTTTGCAAGTTTGCCGATATTTGTCTGAAGCGTTCCGCATCTCTGTCTTGTCAGTCTCTGTCTCTCTTTACAGCTGCCAAGCAAACTCACTGTTGTTTCCATCCTTTCTCAGCACAGATCATCTGGTTCGGCTCCTTTCTCTCCTTTTTTTTCATTTCCGTCATCTTCTTTCTTTGACTCTTTTGCATTAAACCCTGTGTGAGTAAGTGTGGGATCTATTGCTTTCCTTTTTGCCCTGTTATTTTCTTTCTTCCTTTTTTTCATTGTCTGATGCATTCTTAATACTGTTTTTGTATACCCCTATATACCCCTTATTCTCAACGCTGTTCTTGTTTATTGCAATGGTCCCTTTTCCAACAAATACCCCGGTGACCGCAACAAGCTGTGGAGAGATATTTCGAAAAAGGAGGAAGAATACAAAAAAAAAGCAGAAAGAAAGAAGAAAATTGTTGAGGGGTTGAGGAGAGCTTTCTAACGGACTTCTACTACTTAATACCTGCAGAAACACAGGGGACGAAAAGAGGCGAGATTGAGATCCAGAAGTGAGAGCAAGTTGAGCTGTTTGTCATTTGTACCAATTGATCGAGTTCGAAGGAGAAAGGAAAAGGGTCGCCTCCCCCTCG